CCCCACACACACACAAGTCAAAAAGAGAAGGGGAAAAAGGAAAAAAGAGAAGCTGTGTGACAGCTCAACACCAGCAGGAAAGCAAGACCTGAGCAATTCCATAAGTGTATTATTCCCAAAATACACTGCACATTTCAAACAAGTATCGCTTAATTAAAATGTAGTGGTTTCCTTCTCCTATAGACATTGCAAAACAATATTGCATGCACAGGAATGCTAGGATAAGGCTAAAAGCAGGAAAACTTTCCTTAAAAGCAAATACTGGCATACAAAACAGTAAGAAAGAATTTGCATATTCTGTTTCTTTTCAAAGGCCTGCAAAGCAATCTGTAGTACAGGAAGTTTTTGGTTAATACTAAAACAGGGACTTCTAAACACCTCTCAAAAATTACTTGATTTTAAGCATCAGTATGTTCACGTCCAGAAAGAAAAAGGAGTGAAGAAAGCCCAGAAGAAATAGAACAGTAATTCTGCCAACAGCGGTTTTTTTATAGGTAACAAAGTAACTTATAGATAACTGCTTCCATCTACTTTCTGGGGGCCCTAAATGTTTTTTAAATCTACAGGGGAAAGGGAAAAGTTACCAATATCTTCCCGCAACTTTTGTAACTGTTTATATCCAATAACATGTGATCCTAAATTTCCTGTAAGACATGTCCACTGCTTAACTTTGTAACAGTTTTTTTAAATTTTCAAACCATTTCTCAGCTTACTACAGAACAAGCTTGCTGCAGGTAACAATACCTACTCATCTGTATCATCTGTAACATCGAACTGAGTTAAAGCTTCGAAACTTCGTGTACCTTTTCAACACTCTGCAGACACCATGGCTTAACTTCAGATGCATTTTCTACACATATCCCTATATATACATTTTCCAAAGTAACTAGTTTCAGAAACACTAAATCTGTTACATTTTAGTAAAGACAATTTTCTTAGCAGTCTACTGTTTCCTAAAACACAAGACACCATTAAGGCAGGCCTAGCTGAACACAGATAAAAATTCTCACTAGTCACTTTTGAAAGAACAAAAGCCAAGGCACATTCAAAAGCAAACTACAGACCTATTGTTCCCTATTTGTTTCAAAATATTGTTTTGTCAGCTTTTAAACTGCTGACATATAATTGTCCAAAACCATACCAAAGGTAGAAATACTTAATTTGATCTTCAAGAGTTCAAAATAAGGTTGAATTTTAAATATTAAAATGAAAGAGGACAAAATGGCCCTTAACTGTTCTGTTTTTCAGACCACAGAATTCTGGTTGGAAAATCTCTCAGTAAGCACTTCAAAGACAAAAAGAACCTCAAAACAGTAAAAGAAAGTACACCCACATCCACACCCACACCCCCACATCCCTCTTTCACCCATTTCAAAAGTCTTAATTCATGGCTGAAAATGCATACATACATCCGCAGGGCTGTTGACAGTACTTGAAAGTAAGGGGAAATGCATAAGCTTTTTCAGCTTTACAAATCTTAATTTTGTAAGATTTAGTCACCTTTTCCTTTTAATAAGCCATTATGAATCTGTTGATTACTCTCATTTCATAAAACAGCAGGTAGGTGTTCAGACTATTGTCAGCTAAACTCATAATTTAAGCACTCTACTACAGCAGTGGATTTTCTTTAAAAGGCATTGACTGTAGACTAGAGATGGATTTTTCTGAATACTTAATTTAGAACGATTAAGGAACAAAGATAGAACTATATACTGTACCTTGTCATACTGACAAACTATCACATTATCGGTGTCAAACAAGTCTGGAGTGTCCTGTTCACTGACATCATCACCAGAGTTTAGAGGGTCCTAAAGATTAAAATTGTATTTTATATATTCTTTCAGAACAGAATTGAATACACTTGACATTAAACACACCTAGAACAATAAGAAGTTAACCACTGCAAAAATCAAGACCTGGAGGCTATGAAGACCATGTTGCACAAAGCTCATCTATAAGCACCTTTGCATGCTTATGTTTTCAAAACCACAAAACACCCTAAACAAAAGTACGGGTCAAAAATCAAGACTGCTAAGTGACCAAGCTAACCCCAGTAAGTGGAACACTGATCAACTGGTATTTATTTGAAGACCAAATGCTATGTGTTGATTCTCTTGTGAATCTCTAGGATATCAAACCCCATACATTTAAGAAAAAAAAGCCTTTTCCTAGGAAACATATGTACTTGGCTCTCTGTCTAATCCCCTGTGATCCTTCAGAATGAAAAGGAACCTAGATTTGTATCCTGATCTTACTTAAAAAAAAAAAAAAAAAAAGCAGAAATCCATTCCACCAAGGCCAAGGCTTTACCATAGATTCTAATTCTGGTAATTAAGGGTTTTAATTCATCCAGTAAACAAATGACTTCTCAATATCCCTTTCATTTGCCCATGCTCCAGGTAACAAGCTCTCAAGTAATTTCTCAGCAGAACCTCCTGTCTCAAGAGGTTTGTAACTTAACTGTACCTTCTCTGCGTTCAGCTTACCAGGAATTGTTCTGGGTCGAACAATTAGCTACCCTGATGTAATGTGTTTCACAAGGCTTAAAAAGTAAATTACCTCCTCCACAATATCTACTTGGGGCTCTTCGTTATCACTACTGCTGCTGCTAGACTCCATGTTTGAAATACTGTCACACTCTTCATCATCGTCTTCCTCATCCTCCAGAACTTTTAGATCCTCTGATTCAATAATGCCAATGAACTCATTGTCTTCTCCATCTTTTGTATGTGAGATTTCTTCCTTGGGAGAAGCATCACCGGTACCATCTAGCTGAATTATGCCTTCAACGTCACTGCAGACATCCTTCTCTGATCGTAAATTGGATTCCATCTGCTCAGTAGGATCCATCTGACAGGAATAAAAGAGACCAGAGGCAGCTTGTGAATTAACACCACAGTTTTCATTGTTCTGTTCAAAGCCCGACATTTTTTGTTTAATAAAGCAACAAGACTGGGGCATTAAAATGAGAGTTTCAAGACCTGGTCTACTTGTAAAACTGAGTACATTTGCAAATCTTATTCTTACACCTAACCTTAAATGGAATCCATACCAAACGTTCCTCAGCAATATAGAAAGATATTTGCTTAGGCATTTCTTTAAACGCGATTGTACTCAAACAACTTGTTCTTAAAAGACAGCTGAAGAGGCCTTTAGAATTTCTATTGCAAATAAAAACCAAAAAAAGGAAACAAGCTACTCCCCCACTTGTAAAAACAGAATTTGTCATTTTTTAAATAAGTCAAGATGAACTCATTCCTCTCCCTCTATTCAGTCACAATGCTTTGTTTAAAAAATAAAAAGCTAGGAGAGACAGTAAATATTTCAGTACTTCAAGTTACTGTTCATAAATTCCTATAATTTGTAAAAAGAGCTTTCACAAGAGCATAAAGGGCTTTAAGCTTTCAGTCACATTGAATTTCTCATTAAATCTTTATTGTAGCACTTACTCACTTCCATGTACACTTTCTAGTTAAAGAAAACAACACTTTGTTTTGACCTTCCATTCTTACTATGGACAGTCTTCATCAACCTGCCATTGCAGTTCAGGTGATCAACGTAACATAATTTCTATGTACAGTCATTTGTCCTTACTGTCAATAAATTTGCATTTAATAATTCTGCCTCAATCACATGCAAGTGCTACAACTCAAAGTCAGCAAACCAGCCTGAACTGAAACCATCTGCAAATTTCTGGAACTAAAATTAGATGAGGTCAGGAAAGCGACCTGTTAGCTAAAATTATTCAAGTTTTCCACACAGCTCTAGCTGAATTCTAGTTTGCTCGAGAATTTTTCCCCCCAAGGAAATGTATTTCCTTCCAGCAGATTTTCACTTATCAAATCTGACTTTTCATATCAATATGCATTCTCAGTGCAAGTTAAATGCTCTTCACGCATTACAAGTTAAAACTAATCCCAACTGACACTGCAAAAGTAACTTGCTCACAACTGGCCAGTATCTATATGCAGATTCAGTGTCAGAATGACATGGAAGTTCTCAAAGGGTCATTTATGTCTGCTCAGTTGCTGGGAAGGGGAAAAAAAACAAACAAACAAACAAAAAAAAACACCACCACACAACACAACAAAACCCAAAACTATTATCTCCAAAAACTGACAATAAGCCTAAGAATGCATAATATCTATCCGCTAGACTTTTAGCATTTTTTAGATTGACAATCTCTCCGGTCCCAGTATTTCAGCAATATTTGTGATAAATTCTTTATGTAAAAATAAGCTGTCAGCTACTGCTATTCAAAACAAACTTAAGAATGAACTTTAATAATCTTTGTTATTATAATTCAGAGGTGCTACTTGTCACTTGCAGATGCATTTGATCACATCTCTTATGATATTTCCAACAACTATCTCCAACGGGTGTCTTTTCCCCAGCTGAGGAATGAAAGGTCTTACCTTGTCAGCAGAAGCAGAGCTGCCCTGATCTGTCAGAGCAGCGTTATCCTCCAAACCTTTGCCTGCAATAATAAGGTCAATGATATCATCAGACACCTGCTGCTGCCCCAGCTCCTGAGGCTCCACGTCTAGCTGCCCCTCCAGATCCAGCAGCACGCTGCTCACGTCGCCTGCCAAGGATTCAGCGGGAGAAAACCCTTCAGAGGATTCCGGAGCAAACACAGCTGCGTGAAGACCTCCCTGCTGGGATTTTTCTGCCGAGTCTGCACACTGATTCAACGCCGCAGCAGTTGCAAACTGCTGCTGACTCACAGACGGCTGCTGGACCACTGTAGGATTGGCAGGGTGTCCCAAGTGTTTGTTTTCCATGACATTTGGCTGAAACACCACAGGCTGTTGCTGGGCAGAAGTCTCCTGGCGTTGCAAAGCTCTGGCAGCTGCCCGGGCAGAAGGTGCATTCGCCTGCGCAACGCTGGCCATGTTGGCTTGCAGAACTGAAGGCTGCCCAAAGGGCTGGAGTATCTGCTGCACAGGATGATGCAAGATACTTGTATCTCCCAAGGCCCGTGTAATCATAACGGGCATGTTCACCTTATAAAGTTGCCCTACAAAGAGAAGAGTTAAAAAGCGCTTCAGCAGGTTAAAACACAGTTTCATCCCAGCCACTGTCCCATTACCACCTAATAACCAACAAACTCTCCGGCAAACTATGAGAAACGGCGTGTTTACAAAGCAGTACTTTCCTCAAGCACAGTTTCAGCCTCTGAAAATCAAGCATTCAGAGGCTTTCCGAGTCAGAGCTTTCATCCACACCATCACGTTTCATATCCCTTTTTGGTTTTTCCCTCCACTATAACCTGTGACAGTAAGTTGAATAATTAATTACATACTGGATTTTTTTAAAAAAATAAGAAAAAGCCGTTTTGAATTTGTTTCCATGTCATTTTAGAAATTAAGGAATACAAGATGAAACAGCAAACTATTCCATATCCACAGGGACAGTTCACTCCTTTAAGAACTTTCAAGTATCCTTTCTTAAAACAAACCAACCCACCAAAAAGCTCCCTACTAGTTTATCTATTCTCTCACTGTATGAAAACTACTCCAAATACTGAATGCTTAAAGTTGTTACTATCAGCATTAGAATTAATACACCACAGCTAAGTTCCCAATTTCATTTAATTATTCTTTTCTCCACACACATGCTTATATACAGTCACTGATATCAGCCTATAGGTCTCAAAACCTTAGGAATTAAACCTGAAATAGCTATCTAGTGACGTTAGATCTCAAAGAACAGCTGTTTAAGGAAAGAGTCTGTCTATGACTGAAACAAGCCTCCTCCTCACTTCACCCTAGCAGCACATGCACGTTTTTGTACAAGCAGTACAAGCAGTTTTATCAGCAAAAGAGAAGGAGCAAAAAGGTTGATGGATGGTTGGGTTTTATTTGAATAAGAAATGATTTGATTCTGAAGCACCAGAATGTCTTTACCTTTTTAAAACATGGGAAGATTGTCTCTCCTATAGGGGAAGGAGATACCAATGTGTGGACTGACAAAGGAACACATTTGTGAGCAGTTGTAAAACAAAAACAACTAAAAAAAAAAGGCATCACCTGGCAGCTCAGGTTAACTGATCTTGCAAATGACATAACTGACACAATAACTAATTATTAACTTCCCCCATGCAGCAATTACAAACACAAAGATAGAAGAAGGTAACTGGCTCTACCCACTCAGACTTTCACTCCATATTTGTTTTATCTACTGTACTTGGCGCCATTTTTCAATATCCACATACACTCAATGCACCGTAACTTTTCACATCTCCTCTTTAATCTTACCTGACACTGTCCGTAGTGTCAGTCCAGCTGGTACATGTACAGGATAAGCAATACCTGAAGGGAGAGCAAGAGTCGCACTCGCTCCTGAAGTGCCCTAGAGAGACAAGAGCTTTATAAAGAATAGCACATACTTTATCCTCTAGGGCCCTAAATGTCACACATAACATACTCCGATGAAACGGTAACCAAGGCCTTTCTTGAGATCACCCCTAATGGAGAGTTGCTTCAGACTTCTGAGATTTAGACAGATAAAGAACATTGTGTACTGACAAGATAATGACTTGCCATGTTTCCCATTTTCCACTCACCACATTCCCGTTTTGTTAACAGAACACTTTCCTGTACCCCTTCAATGCACATTCCATCCAGAAAGGTATTTTTCCACTGAAAGACACTTTCAGCTAAGCTTATGCATTACTCAACACAGCACAGACTCCTTGCCTAGGCCCATGAAGTCACTTCTGGAGAGCAGATTTGGATATATGGCTCCCTTTCAAACTACCTGTTCCGAGGAAATCCAAACCAGTATCAGGAAACCTGCAAGTTACACAAACATCTCCCCAGTATTACATTCCAGCCTGGCAAGTGAATTAACTTGAGGGTCAGGAGGCACTCGGTAAGTTCATCAAGCACTGACAATTAACAGCCCCTCGCCAAACAAATCTTTCCGTGGCCAGAGTTGAGAATCCGTCAACTCTAAAAAAACCACTCATTTTCTTCTGGATGATTTCTATGCCCCACAGATAACATTGCTCCCAGCTTCACTAGTGCTAGCACTTCCTCACCAAGCATTATTTTAACACCAAGTAATAAATAAAGGATCCACAGATGTGCATTTCCACTACCATCCTATGGGCTGAATACAGGCAGCCACGTCTTCTAACACACTTGAGGCTGCACTGCTTGCAAAACCAACTGGCTGAGCCCCATCATTTTTCACTGCTCAAACAGAAGCCACAGAGTTACAGATCTCCCTCTGCAGACTCTCACTTTTCATAATTAAAAAAAAAAATATAATAAGTGGATTAGAAGTAACAATATTGAGTTGCTCAAGTAGGACTCCTGCTTTGCTGCCTACTATATTATATTGGACAGATGATGGCCTAAGAAAGGCTACTTTTTCAGTCCTAAATGCTGTCCTAAAGAATCTATACACGGAAAATATTAAATACTTGCCTTCTGTTAAGCCTATTAACAACTGACAAACTTAATAATTTACAATTCAGAAAAACAAAAATTGAAATAAACTTTCACTACAGCTACATACCAGGTCTGCTGCCACAAAGTGCTGAAAACCTCTGCCAGCTGGGATCACTAGAGAAGCTATTGAAAACAAACAAACAAAAAAGCTGCTTTACAAAGAACATTAATTTCTCATCCACAGTTGATTTTTCAGTAATTTACAGCAAGCACTGCTGAAACTAAAGCATTCTAACTTCAGTTCATACTCATTAGATCAACAAGCGAGTGAGCACATCCAGATAAGGCTCCTGAATATATTTCCCTTTGTGTTGCTTCAATCTTGTGCTGTACTCACAGGGTAGAGGTTATAGCCTGAATTTATAAATCTTACATTTTACTAGAAGATGGTCTTTGAGACTTGCTTTCTTTCTTTGTTTTAAAAACACCTCTGTTTAACTCTCTGATGTGGTTAGGTTGCTCTAAAAATGAAGCATGCCATCTCTATTTATTACGTCAGCTAGAAGGGCAGAGGTGCAATGCTACCAATGATCAAGAGCACGTTTGAAAAATGAGGAAAATGTGCAAACTATTTTTCCCACACCACAGCAAATCCAATGGCGCTAATAGGAGAAACAAAAGCATTTAACACTGACTTCAGTGGGAGAACACAAGCAAAATTAAAAACTTGCCCAGACTTCAGGAAGCAAACAGTTTAGGCAGCCCTAACTACTCTGAAAATCTTTAGCCATAGGACAATTCAAATGCCACTAAAAAAAAATTTAAAAAAACCCAAACAACAAAACACTGGCTTCAACAGATTGTTTTGCCTTAATATTTCCCTTCCAAAACTTAGGAGTAACAAACTGATTAAATATAAAGCCTCCAAGAGCAAATAAATCCAAAAGAATATTCCCTTTAACCACATCACATAAAGCATCTGTCCCCAAAACCAGCCCATTCAGCTAAGATTGTAAAAAAAACAAACAGATGAAGCATGCCTGCCCAACTCTGAAGTGCACTATGACATAGATTTTCATTAAATCAGCTCATATGGAGGGTTTTTTTGCCTTTTATGGGGAAAGGCCCTAAGGGCCTCTCACACTGGGAGAAGCCCCAGCTGAGCATTACTCTACCAGAATACCACCACAGAGGTCACCTGGACTTAATTGAGAAGAATTAAGTCCTGATGTCAGAGGTCAGGTAAAAGTCAAGTAATTCTCTGCAGTGGGAATACTGCTTTTAGGAAAACTAACTGAAAGACAAACAAAAAAATTTGCCCAAAACTCCCACTCTTCTGTTTGAGCAAGGCATTAAGAACTGCAGCACCAGATTAAACTCCATCATGACAGCATTAGCATATCAAAGTTCAATTTGTCCTTTATTAGTCAAATTCTGCTTTCAAATAATTACTGTTCCCCATCGTGCCAGATATGTAAGATTACTGCAGCACCTTCAAGTCTTCCAAAAAGATTCTTAACTCACTGAGCTATTCTTAAATTGCATCTGTTGTGTTCAAACAACATCTGACCTGCTGAAGCCTGCAGAACGTGGTGAAAATTGTGCGGCAACTGCAGGGTAAACTGTGGAGAATGGCGGTTATGTCTGAAGAAGCCTTCTGTTGCTTTAGACTGCATCACCTTGGTTTCCCAAAGCTGCAGAAAGATTAATGTCAACTTTAAAAAAAAAAGTCTAAAAAGATCATAAAGTATTCCCAGTTTTTCCAAGAGTAAATTGGTTGATTCTATCCAATAAACATGGTATCACTACTGAATTTCAACTTCCAGCAGCCCAACAGATCATTTGTAGAATATTTATAAAGCTTGCATGTTTTGGAGGGCAAAGAAACAGACAGGTATATCATCCGAAAAAAAAAAAAAAATCCCGAACTTGTACTAATGCAGGGGAACCCAACAAACCTGCTGCAAGTCTTTCAGAACCCGCTCCTCTAAACCCTCTTCTGCAAAGAGTTCCCGCACACCTTCAATCACATCTTCGATAATGGACTTGTATAGCTTAGTCTACATGAGAACAAACAAAACCCAAAATATTTTCAAGACGAACATTAAGTCATTTGAAATGACAGAATAAAATCTAATATCGCTGCATAAACTACTGTGACAAACTGAACAGCATGAATAAGCATGAACACTCTGCCAAGTGCAAAGGTGTGCAAGTCCGCTCACTCTTTTAAATCTGACATCCCTGGGAAAATACTGGATTTGAGTCTCAAATTATTTGTTGCTACAGACTACAGAAATGCTTAAGAAAATCCTAGAAACATTATTAAAAACTGTATTTTTGAACAAGCATGTCTAAATTGTCACTTTAAAACTGAAATTTACCACGTGGTATCACTCCAGTGTCACTGCCCCTAACTTAAAGGCCAACAAACAATAAAAATTACTAAAAATGAGACATGCTGGTTATATCAGAAGCATAATGCAAGTAAACTGCAAGAAATAAGAGATATTTTTTCTTTGTGATAAGTCTGATGCTGTATAACAGTTTAGATACAGAAACTGTAATACTACAGTTATCAACATGTATCATTCAAATTATATTACAACAGGAATCCAACGCAGGACTTTATTCCTCCTTCTGACCATGTCAGTGATGAAATCCTAATCCTCCAGTTACACCTGGACAAGACACATACAAGCTTCAAGATTCATCCATTCACATGAAAATGTAAGATAATAAGCTTTTAGCAATATAAGCTTATTATTCTTGACTATCACGACCAGCAGAACAGCCTATACAGGGTGAAAGATGAAGCTGAGATTTTTAGGAAACCTCAGAAGTTAAAATTCAGGGATAGTAATTTACATGTTTCTAACTTAAGATCAAATTAATATTTTACTTCTCTAAAGCTGTTCTAAACTGCAGAGGATAAACAATTTAAAAATAATAGAAGTTATTAGGAAGTAACAAGTTAGCTTTTGGCAGAAAGCGTATCAGCATGTTGTGCTACTTTAAAATAACCATACTCATGTATTATTTCTTATGGGAGCTTAAAGATCTCCAAGAATACCCCCAGCACATTTCAGGAAAGTAGGAAGATGCAGAAGGAGAAAAAAAAACCCAACCATACAACCTATCCTTGTACTGCTACACTGAAAGATAGTGACCAGCCCGTATATCCAAACACTTTGCCTTCATTGTTAATCCAGAAGAGAAATTGAATTTTAATCTTTCCAATATACCTACTCCTCTCCCCAGGCTTTGCCAAGCTACGTTAAGTACAAATATTTATTATGCTGCATAAAAATGGTACGTAACAACTGTAAAATTCATGCTTCCAAATTGAAGAGCAGTCACAGCACAGGTGTCACTCTCCGGTTCTGATCCCTTTATTTCCTTGCCCAGGACCAGGCTGCCCACACCGGGCACCACCAGCCCCAACAAACCAACAAACTCCCCCTTTTCTTCTGTGGGGTTATCAAGACCCCATCCCGGCAAAGCCAAAACTCAAGCCTTAGAGCCGAGCACCCCAGGGATTACCGTCACCCCAAGTCTCACCTAAGGAGAGGCAGCAGAAACCCAGAGGGGACAAAAAGCCGCCACCGCCGCCTTTCTCCCTGGTGCCACCAACCCCACACAGCGTCCCCCACCCCGCACCCTGTGGCTCGCCCCCATCCCTGACACTAAGCTTTTGCCCGCAACAGAGTTCTAAAAAAATTTTTACAAAACAAATAAGTAAATAAACAAAGCT